TATATATATACATGCTAAAAAAAAGTTAGAATGAATTTTTCTAACTTATATTCTACTTGTGTATTAATTATATATTTTTTAATAAATTTTTTTAATTTGTATTTTTAGAACATATGTTAAGGTTATTTTTGTTGTTGTTAATATATAAAAAAAATATAAAAATTAACATTAATTTTAGTGTTGGTATCACATTAATGAATTTAATTAAACAATTGATAAACTAAGAGCATGTTTGGGGTTAAAACTAATTTTTAACTTCTAATTTTATAATATGACACTTTTAACTATTTACCTTATAAAATTTATAAGTTTTAATTCTTTATCTTATATTATGAAACTTTTAGCTTATTATCTGTACGAATTGAAGAAAATAACCCTCACTTAATATCAAGTCATAATGTTTTGTTAGTTTTGTTAGTTAACTATCAGTTATGTTAACTGACTGTTATTATCTATTAGCATTCCGTTAATAAAACTAACAAATAAAATTGAATTTAAATTTCATGCTTTTTATAACAGAATGCTAATGGATATTAACAGTCAGTTAACAGAACTAACAAAACGTTATAACTTAATGTTAAGTGAGGGTTATTTTCTTCAATTCGTATAGGTAAGGGATTAAAAATGTCATAATATAAAGTGAGGAGTTAAAATCTATTAATTTTGTAAGGTGATGGGCTAAGACCTATTAACTTGGTAAAGTAAAAGGTTAAAAGTGTCATATTATAAGGTGATAGATTAAAATCTATCAATTTTGTAAGGTAAAAGGCTAAATGTTAGTTTTTACAAGACTAAATTGAATATAATTTAAAAGATTGGATTAAATTGGATTTGACAAAATATATTATATTATATCTAATGCGATGTTTAGTTATCATCAACATTTTTCATTCCTTTCACGCAACCCAACAAGGCAAAAAGTCAAACCGCAAATTGGAGTGGATGGTCGATTGATCAAGAAGAGAAATCGGAGAACCACCTAAAAGTGCTCGACGAATCCATTGCTAAATTCTTGTGATTGATTTGGTTCATGCTTTCTGATTAGATAGAAATCAAGGAAAGAAAGGGGAAGAGGAAGAGAGGGGGATGGAGAAAAACCAAGAGGAAAGAGAGAGGAAGGAAGAAGAAGCTACCATTCAATTACTCACGAAGATGGATTCCGGTGTGTTATCGACGTTACACCGATGTGCGTTGATACAAACTAACAAAATGATTGACAAAAAAAAAAAACAAGAAAAGGGGTAGAGAATCGTAGAGCTAGAAAATGATAGAAATGTAAAATCAAATCTTATTCCATCTAATCCATGGGGGAGGTGGGTTATATTTTGTAAAAGGAAGACATGATTGGATAAAATATGGGACAACAATCATTCCATCCATTTACCTTACCAAACATGGGACACAGTGGGATGAGACAAAATTTTTATCTCCTTCCACTGTCAATCCAGCACTCCAAATGCATCGTAAAGATTAATTTTTATTTTTTAAATATAAATTTATGAAAAAAATACATTTAAGTCTCAATTCTAAAAAATAATTGTAATTTTAATATTAAATTACAGCATTTTATTTAATTATTATTTAATTTAAAATTTAAAAAATTATCTTATTAAATATTGATATATTAAAAAATATGTTTTCAAATTTAAATATCGATTTAATAAGATGAGATATCAGTCTTCAAATGTAAATTGAAATTTTAATTATTTTTTA